TAACAGCTAGTTTCATATAAATGTTATATTAGTTATATTTTATTACCTATTTATTATATTGTTTGATTTATTAGTACAATAAAAATACTTATAAAAATATATTTTTCATCATTAAGTTTACTTCTATTCATCTGATAAGCTTTGTATCCTTTTTTCTAAGGGGACGCAATAAAGATATTAAAAATAAAATATACTTTTTTAATATAAAAACAATTAATTGCAGCTTAAAAAAAACTCATTTTCTCCGTATTTTAGGTAAAATTTCATATAGTAAGCTTCACCAACCCGCCTTTGCATGTTTGTGTGTCTATCTTTATCTACCCTTAGCGACGATATTGTTTTCGCAACTTGTGTAAGTGAGATAGATATATTTTTATTTAAAATTGTTATTAGTTTCAAAGCTACGTCGTCGCGTTTGGATAGTGGTTACGCTTAAACTCATAAACAGCTAACTTCGCAGTCACTACCCACCGACGTCAGCGCCGCTATAAATTCTACAATTTTCAAGGACAGGCATATGATTTAGTACGTAGTGATCGTTCTCCTGTTCTCTAACCTTCATGCTTCTCTGTCTATGTACCCGCTTGTTTGCTTCTTGCAACCACAGTTGCAAAAACAGTATCCTTAACTTTGCTCTTTGCAACTGTGGTTGCAAAGCGACGAAGTTCTTTTAATTGAATTTAGACTGTATTTTAAACGCACAGAGTCTAACTATTACATATTAAAACCAAAAACAAATATATAAATCACAGATTTGGATCAAAATTACCAACCTCTTAGACGAAAAATATCGAAACTGTGTAAGTTAAAGTTTAGTGAGTGAAGTGACGCTTGAGTGGATTTAACGAGGTGATAAAATATGCCGTGAGTATTGAATTTTATTGATTTTTACTAGTATTTATATATAGAAATTCAGACTAACTCAGAATGACGCGAATCTAAACATAATTTTCTATAGCTTACATTATCGTAATTATGTTGTATTCTTTAAAGACGATTACATTATTCAATTTAAGTAATAAAGTTTTATAAATTGTTCATCATATTATAATATAAGTTTTTAAGTAATAACAGCCTAGATTTTAACTAAGAAATAGCGATCGAGCACGCAATCCCTGAATTCTTCATCAGGTTTCACTTAATATTTTTACTATGTATTTAAATATAAATCGTTTTATAATATAGATAAATATATCAAGTAATTCATAACGTTTAAGAATATAATAAATAATCATACACTTATCGATCTTATTTTTTGATAAACCCGATGTTTTGCAAAAAGTCGCTAAAATGGCTTGTACTTGTGATTTCAACACCTCTAAAGTATTATTGTATTCATATTTTGTTAGAATAACATACGTATTTTCTTTTCTAATTTCAATGGCTATACATAAAATTTAAAATATTTGAAGTGCTCCTCTAGAGTAAGTCATAAATTAAGTTTTATTGACGGCGGGTCGAACATGAGAAACACAGTCCCGACCTACTGGCAAAGTAAGCTACCCTTTTTTTGTTCGCAAGCAATCGAACGGGTACCTACTAAATCTATGAACACAACAACAACAACAGTGTAATCCATGGTGGCTGCCATGGAGGTTAGAGAACAGGAAAACGATCGCCGTAGAAAAGAGTGTCACAGAAATATGGACACCATAGGTGAGGTGCTGCGATCGCTAAGTTTGGTCAATAAAAGTCATTTTCAATCTATTTTTCCAATCAGATGCTAAACCACTTATACATTCACGCACAATAAAATGTTTCTCCATTTTTAATGTTTCTTTTTGTAAAAATTACAAAATTACGGAGCATGAAAATTTTCTCACCAATGCCGCGAAGAAAATTTGTACATTATTCAACTAACTTCATCTACTTGAACTCATAAACAGCTAACTTCGCAGTCACTACTCACCGACGTCAGCGCCGCTATAAATTCTACAATTTTCAAGGACAGGCGGGCTATGCTTTAGTACGTGATCGTTCTCCTATTCCATGAAGGTTAGAGAACATGAGAATGATCACTTTCAATTTCGATCGATTTCTGTGAGTTGTAGCTAAACTCGGTGTTGTATTCTTTTCACGAGTTCATACGTCACTATGTGGAAACAACAGTTTACGCAGAAGGTTGGGGATTCTTGGCTTCAAGACCGACATCACAAAATATTGCCTTCAAGTGATTGAAGGTACTACGGGTCAAGTAGCGTTATCCAAATTTTGTGGTACAATTGTAAGGATGCCGATTATGGTGCCGACACAAATGATTCATTTGAAGACGATTTTAATTTAAAATAGAAGTTGATTCAAGATGAATATTATAATTGATTATAATATAGGAAAAATCGCCGGTGGTAAACTATTCCACAGAGAGGTCGTACGCGGAAGAAAACTCCTTGTGAAACATACAGTGGTGGACCGCCAAGCATCCAGATGGTGTGGATGGTATCGGGACGTTTGCCGCGTAGAGCGTTCACGAAATTTGGCGGCTGGGATTTATCCAAACAATTCCTCAGAGCACTCCCCATGGTATATGCGAAAGAAAATGCAAAGAGATGCGACATCTCTTCGCAGCGACAATGAATCGAGCCGATCGGAAAGCGCTAGGTTGTCGACGATTCGAGCTGCTCTACGTTGGATGCGGTCAAGTGGAAGGAGCTGGTACTGGGGAGCTCCAGCCCAGATATGGGAACAGTATATCATGTGCGGCCGAACCTGCGCCTTGTAAAGTTGCAGGCGGTGTGCCGGCATGAAATACTGTCCCGTGACCACGAAACTGCACGTCACTCGATATGTCGACGCCGAGGATTCTGATACTGGCCTGAGGCAACAAGGGCTTGAAACTGAGGAGATACGATAAAGAGGTTCTTTTTAGCGGTTAACGTGCAAACTTGTGTCTTCTGAGGGTTACACTGGACTAGATTTAGTCTCCCCCAATCTGAGACTCTGTTCAGCAAAGACTCGATTTCACACACATGTTTGTCCCGGTACTCGGAGACGTTTTCCCGAGAAATATTAGCACGGCCGGTGTACAGAGCATCACCAGTGTTGTCATCTGCATAGCAATGAATGTTACGGGTTTGCAACATATCATTGATAATATGCAGAAGAAACAGTGTTGGCGATAGCTCGCAGCCTTGTGGAACACCAGCATTAATAGGCTTGTCCATCTACAACGACTTCGATGCACCGATCTGCAAAAAGCTGGTGATCCAATCGCACAATTTCTCGGGAAGCCCATAGGAAGGGAGCTTCAAAAGAAGCGCTTTGTGCCAAACCCGATTGAAGGCCTTCGCAATGTCCAAACTAACGGCCAATGCCTCCCCCTTGGACTCTACGCCTCCTCCCACCTATGAGTTAGTTAGAACAGAAGATCACCAGCTCATCGACCACGACGAAAACCGTATTGGCGATTACTAATCAGCTGGTGATCCTCAAGGTACCTCATGAGCTGGCTGTTTACAATGGACTCCATTGTTTTGGAGAACAAGGAGGTGATGGCGAGAGGCCTGTAGTTGGATGCATGGTGCTTTTTGGGACGGGTGAACGTAAGCCGTCTTCCATGATTTTGGGACTACGCTTAGGGAGTAGGAGTGTCGGAAAAAACGCGTTAAAACCGGTGCAAACTCTGGAGCACACGTCCTCAGCACAATTGGGGGGATTCCGTCAGGCCTACTCAACTTGTGGATGTCCAGGGAGAGGAGTGCTTTGCGAACCGAGCGCTGTGTGAACTGCACTTCCGGCATGGAGAACTCACACCGCGGGACGGTCGGCGGCGTACTCCCCCCGTCATCGACAGTCGAGTTGGACGCAAAGAAAGAGCCCAGCAGATCGGCTTTCTCCTTTGTGGTATGGGCCAGTGAGTCGTCCTCCCTGTGCAAAGATGGAAGAGATGGCTGACAGAAATTTCCCTGGATAGCCTTGGTGAGAACAGAATGCACGGGTTCCAGAAGGAAGGCGAACTAGTTTCTCGTCAATTCTGCCTATGTGCTCTGACTTTGCCTTGGCAATGACTCTTTTGAAGGACCTGGGGGCGGAATTATATCTCTTTTTTAGAGCGCTGGTGGTTACATCCCGGGACGTTGATGCGTCAGCCCAGGCTTGGTGGCACTCCTGCTTATAGCATGATTCTATTTTTACAGAAACGACCAAACCATGGTAGAGATTTGCCTCCGATGGGCACCACAGAGGAAGGAATAAAAAGTTCCATACCCTGAAGTACTATACGTATAATGCCAAAAACGGTGGCAGCCTGCAGAATGCAACTGCGATTTTAGCGTGAGTGGTACCACACTCCGGACAAGACAATGGTCCGAGGAGCCTAAAGGGGCGTCGACGGAAATCTGATATCCGTCCGGGGGAGAGGTCAGCAGAAGGTCCAACAGGGAAGGTGCATGATCCTCCACATCTGAAATCCGCGTAGGTGAAGTAACCAGTTGTGTGAGATCATACAGTTTTTAATGTTATTGTATCTGATGTTTTCTTCCATAATTAACAAAAACTTGTTGAGTGGAATTTTTACGGATTATGAGAGTAGGGTCGCTTTTATTAGTGGTTTACTAGTGATTTTAGACATTAACTCTAAAGGAGACCTAGTTAACTGTAAAGTTGATCCAAACGACTATAAATCTATAGCACGCTACAGACTATAAACTAGCGCAATAGTGCCATGGCGACTACATACATAGCACGCGCTATGTGTTATGGAGAGATAGCGCTCTATAATATGGTGCTATGCGCTATATTAACCACCATTAGTTAACTGCTAGCAACACTGGTAGCTAGTCAGACTCAGAAATTTGGCCTAAAGGTCTAGATACCAGGCCATAAACTCAAAAAAAAAATCAGAACAGAAATGCTCAGAAATCAGAAATGGCGGGCGTTTCTATGATTGTTGATTTGTTGTCACTGAAATTTAATTGTGATTAAAAGGATTTTGAAGATTTTTCATTGAAAGGATTTTATTTTAATTAGGTTTTTAAAATAAAACATTCGTAGAAATCATAAACATGCATATTAAACAGGTAATTTTGTATGTTTTTGCGCGCGTTAATGGTTATTCCGTTTGGATTTTTTTTTTGTATTTTAAGCTGTCAACTTATTTGTTTACAGGTGATTATTCAGGGATTCAAGAGTTATCGTGAGCAAATTGTTGTAGAACCATTTGACAAACGGCATAATGTAGTTGTAGGACGTAATGGTTCAGGAAAAAGTAATTTCTTTCACGGTTAGTGCTACAAGAATGTTTGCATCATTTGACATGTATAGCAATTTAGATACTTAGATTCCACATTTAATCTTTATTTTTCAGCAATTCAGTTTGTGCTTAGTGATGAGTTTTCACATCTACGACCTGAACAAAGGCTAGCTCTGCTTCATGAAGGCACAGGACCCAGAGTGATATCAGCTTTTGTTGAAATAATCTTTGATAACTCTGATAACAGAATACCAGTAAGCTTTTTTATTTTAATGCTGACATTACTAGCTTGTCCACGGAATCTCTAAGACTTCCAACTCTTATGATGGATGAAATTATTTATTTTCTTAACATTCAAATATACAATATTTATCATCATAATAAAAAATAAAACTCAAAACTTAAATTGTCATACAGTCCTACTCCCCATGGTATTGTACCAAAACGCTAGCTGTGTTTTATTTCTGAATGGCTGTATTTAGTCTGATGGAGAAAAGAACTCTCAGACTCGCATTGAAGGATTCATCTTATTATTAGTTAGTTAGGTTAATCCTAAAAGGAAGGACTTTAGATTAACTACATACAACATTTTCAGTGATATATTGTACTTTTTTAGAGAAATTTGAAAATTTTAAAATTTTCTAATATTTTAATGATAGAGTCAAGCTTCAACATAGTGGTTGTAGCATAAATGGGTCAGCTCAACCAGGTAAGTACCACACTCTCACACTCCGTGTAGAGAACCGGAGATTCTGTTTACTGGAAATGCGGCATTTCATCTTAGTTGTCAAGGGTAACGAGTCTGCATTTTGATTCTTAATCGAGCATAAATGTGGATGTTTATGGACCACAGCATCCACTTACCATCAGGTGGACTGTGTGCTCATTTGTAAAAAATATTTCACTCCAATTTTAAATATTTTGGTTTAATTTTTTTTAAATAGAAGTGAAAATCTATTTCTTTTTGTTAATATTCCCTTGTATTTCTTCACCTTGGCATTGGCAAAGAATCATGGGTTAAATGATGGACCCATTTTCCTTTTAAAATAAGAAGAAGGAATTTGAAGTGGGAGACAGGATGGGGAGGCTGTTGCCTAAACCCTCCTTCAAGAATGCATATTTTTTTATTGAAACTCCAGTCAGAAGGTTTAGGCAAATCTGCATTAAAACACTTAGCCAAACATAAATAACTATCGATAGTCCTGTCCGTGATGAAGGCCCGGTCCCAGTAGAGCCTGGAGCGGTCATTTTCGAGCATTATTATTATTATTAATATTATTGTTTTTTTATTGATATTATTATAGTTATTTATTATTATTATTAATTTTAAAATTATTATTAAAGATTAGCCTTAAAGATGTTTAACAAAGGTGAATTAGAAACATTTGTTTGTTCATTCAGCAGTGCATTGTTACCATTATTATTTTTTGTAATTCTCCAACTGTTCCAGCACACACAGTCGCAGCCCCTTATTACAAATATGTAAGACTTCAAAGGAATGATGGCTGGCTAGGTTGTGTCCAGTGTCCAAGAGATGTTTAGCAAAATGAGATTTATCAGGATTGCAATTTCTGTACGCGGCCAAATGGTCTTTATAGCGCGTCCCGAAATTGCGACCAGTCTGACCCACGTAAATGGCTTGCCATTCGTCACAAACAAGTTTATAAACACCCGATTTTTGACTAATATTTAATTTTTCTTTATTATTACAAATATTCCTAAGCGAATTGTTTGTTTTGAATGCCACGTTAACGCTGTTTTTTTCTAAGAGTATTAGCTATTTTTTCCGATATGGAGCCTAAGTAGGTCAAACTACCCACATATTGCCGGACACTTTGAGATCGAACCGCATACAAAGAATTGCGAACAACATGCTTTTGTTTCTTTTTAATAAGATTATTAATGAGGCTTTTTGAAAAACCGTTAGAGACTGCAATTTGATAAATTATATTAAGTTCTTTTAAATAATTTTTTTTACTTAATGGAACAGTGAACAGATGGTTAATGTATCAATAAAAAGCGGCTAATTTATGTTTCCATGGATGACACGATGACGTGGGGATGACCGTGTCGGTATGAGTTGGCTTGCGATAAATTTAAAAAACATGCAACGAATCTTTTCTTGTCTTTGTTAAGTCAAGGAAATTAAGGGACCAATCTTGTCCTAATTCAAGCTTAAATTTAATTTTTTCGTGGACTCTATTTATTTTATTAAGGAAAACATCCAGTTGTCTCCTTGTGCCAGTACAGCAAATAATTATGTCTACATGTCGATAATATATGAGATATTTTGGTTAACAACTATATGGATTGACATTGGAGTGTGTATAAGTGTCGTTGTGTTTTTGGCTATTTCTTATTCTGAGAGCTGTTGAATTACCTTTTTTTTGTTTATTATTTCTGTTGGTGTTGGTTTTAGTAGTTATAAATCCGTAAGTGTTTAGTAATTGTGCCGTTTTATATGTAATTAGTTAAAATAAAATTGAGGAAGATCCTCCCGATCCCGACGGGGTTCCATGTGACTCCCATACTGGTACGGGAAAAAATAATAATATTCCTATCGAAATTGATCAGTCGAAGCGTAAAAAGATTGCAAGCAACCAATAACTCAGGTCATCCTCAGAAAAGATTAATTACAGATCCATCTCAACCTGTTCCATCTATTCAGACCTCTTATACCCACCCTGAATACATAGAAAAAAAAACATAAATATTCTAATAACGACAATGCGCCGTTTATTGTACATGTAAGTAAGAGAGTAGATGATTTATCAACTGGAGTAGTTTTAAAACCGATAAAGTTTGGTCATTTTCTCTACCATAATAATATTAAAAATGTTGTAAGTGATGGTGTTAAGCGAGTAGGACGCAATAGAATTTCAGTCGAGTTTAAAAGTGCAGCTGATGCAAATTGTTTTATTGAGAACCCAGCCCTTGCAGGTGCTAAATATGATACTGTAATCCCTTCTTATAATGTCACACGCATGGGAATAGTGAGGCAGGTCCCTGTAGAATGGACATTAGAGGAAGTCATCTCATCAATCGAGGTCCCAGCTGGTTTTGGCTCAATTATTAAAGCTCGCCGATTTAATAGAAAGTCAGTTAATGAAAAGCAAAGCACTGTGTGGATTCTCTCTCAAACAGTTGTTTTGACTTTTTCCGGTCAGAAACTTCCTTCTAACATTTATTGTTTTTTTACCTCAATGCCTGTTGAGCCCTACATTTTACCTCTTATTCAATGTCACAAATGTTGTCGTTTTGGGCATGTAACCTCACAGTGTAGGTCATCTTCCCGGTGTTTTGTGTGTGCTCAAAATCATGAAGGAATATCATGCACAAGACAGTCTCCCACGTGCTTATTTTGTTCAGGATCTCACACAGCTAAAGATCCTTCCTGCCCTGAACACTAGACAGAGATCTATCAAACTTACCATGTCACAGGAAAATATTTCCTATCTAGAAGCATCTGCCCGTTTCCCTTATGTCCGGAGATCTTATGCAGATGCTGCTAGAATCCTTCCTTCGTATGATCATCAGAGTCCCTATCCTATTTCAAATTCCCCTTTACCTTCAGTTGTCCCCTCACAATCTCATTCTTACAGGAAGACTACATTTACTCCAAGACTTCCGCCAAATCCAGCATCAAGTCATGGATATGATAAATCTGCCCACGAGGCAATAATAGATACCCCTTCTTCTTCAACTACTAATGGTTGTGCTTTAATAGGGCGGAGTATTTCCCCTAATGACAATCTCTGTGAGTTAATGATCTCCATGCTTATAAGTATGCTTTCCCGTTTCAGCGATATGGATCTCCCACTTGCCCTCCGCCAAAAACTTACTGAGCTCATCTCATTAACAAATAACCTTCCCTCCAATACTTCAGTGGAACTGCCGGAGCATTAATAATAAAAAAAATGAATTAATTTACCTTATTAATAAATACCATCCCCTCATCCTAGCCATTCAAGAGACATGGCTTAAGCCTGGGTCCCATTTTAGGATTTCAGGTTATTCATGCCTCAGGAATGATAGGAATGATGGTCATGCTGGCTCTTTCATTCTTATCTCAAAATCAATTACTTATACATTAATTTCCCTCCCTTCTCATAGTCCTTCAATTAATGTTGTAGCAGTTAGAGCTCATAACACTTCTTTTCTTTCTATTTACATTCCCCAACCTAGTTTAAATGTTTTATCAGAACTTACGAGGATCTTATCCTCCATCCCGCCTCCTATGGTAATTCTTGGTGATTTTAATAAGCACCATACTTTATGGGGCTCCCATTTTTGCGATCCCTGGTCTTCTACATTTTTAGACATCATTGATGATTTAGATCTCTGCCTCCTTAACGATGGTTCACCTACACGTAGAGTATCCCCCTCCAAAATCCTAAAAGTGCAGTAGATCTGTCACTCTGTTCTCCTGCTCTGTCGTCCCTTCTTTCTTGGAGAATATTACCCTTTTCCCATGGCAGTGATCATTTCCCTATTGTTATCAATCCCCCTAGCTCCTATACAGTCAATGTTCCATTCAATCCTAGGTTAAAATATAACACATCCAAAGCAAACTGGCAACTATATTCCACAGTTCTAGAGGAAGAACTTTCAGCCCTTCCTTCTGTTCAGAAAGATAATGTTCTCCAGGTGTATGCTTCTTTTAAAAACGCTATTTTATCTGCTGCCAATAAGACAATTCCCATCAAAAAACCTTATAAAAATAATGCCCCTTCACCACCTTGGTGGGATCAAGATTGTTCTGTAGCATGTAAGAAGAGAAAGGAAGCTGAAGTAAGATATTCCCACTCTATGAATTTTGACAACTATATTTTTTATAAAAAAACTGCTGCTGAAACATTAAAATTATTATCCGGGAAGAAAAAGGCTGGATGGCTTAAATTCTGTGAGTCACTGTCGCCTAGGACCCATCCATCATTAGTCTGGAAAAATATAAAAAAATTCCGATGTTCAGTTTTGGCCCCTGAAAACACAATTTCTAATGATCAGTCTTATTGGCTAGAAAATTTTGCTAGTAATCTTGCTCCTCCTTCAGTACCATCTTACAACGAATGTATAGCATTTCAATCACAGTCCTTGCACTATCAATACAGTTTTGACTCCCCTTTCTCTTATGAGGAGTTATATGCTGTTCTTAGTGCCCTGAAAGACTCTTCACCAGGAATTGATGGAATTCCTTATTCTTTTATTACTAATAGCAGTGAACCTATTAAAGTCCATCTTCTTTCTATTTTGA